TAGTAGTAACAATAATAGTGATAATAATAGCAGTAATCATTTTAGTAATGGTGGAAATTAGTATTCTACTACTGTATTTAATATTGTTGTCGTTTTTGAAGCGCAATTTTTAGCTGCGCTCATCGCAGTAACATCATTAACGCAAACTGTCCGGCATTTTGATTATTTTAACAAGTTCAATAAAATGGTCCAGATTTTTGTACCTTTGCAGAGGCTGCTACGTCGAATGCTAAAGAATCTGCCGGTTCATCTGGTCCAACAAATAATAATAGTTTCCCCGAGATCACAGGCTCAATGAATTCAAGTTCATCGCTTAGCGCACTGCAGTCAAACGTCCAGGGCGAGTGTGCCAGGAATGCAGTGGTCCTAACAGATATAAATTACTCCTATGGCTCCATAAATTGGTTTTATGATATAGCACAAGGGCTGTGCCGGAAAATGCAAGCGGAACTTTCTGACGAGTATATGCAGGTTAGCATATTAAAAATTCGGTAGTGGTTGTAAAATTAGCTGGCAAAAACATATTTCGCATTTATCGCACAAACTGAGGCGCGTCACAAGTAATACTCAAGAAGCAGAAGAGAGCCACTCGACCAAAACTGAAGCGACGAGGCATACACCTTGTGGAGGCAGTTGATAGAAGTTACAGATAAAAAATTAATTCAAAAAATTTAGCATAGTCGAAGTAACACGTAATTGCTTGTCACTGGTGCTGAAAATTCCACGCCAGCATTTCCTGGGGTTATTGGCAATTGCCAAATTCGTTTTTCCTTTCGTATCCGTTCGCTAAGAGAGGCAAAAGTACTAATCTGCCAGCCCGAGTGGTAGCAAATGCGAGCAGCAAGCATCCACTGGTATGACGGCTGCCTCTTTTGAAGGTTGCTTAGAAGCAAGCTGATATCTGGTTTATCTCCCAGACAAATGCCAGTACCAGTGTACTATCGGAATGAACGAACAAATCTTAGAGGGACGGAAAGCCCTATTGCCGGAATCAAATCTTCGTACTGCGCCCCAGAATGAATACATAAATACAAAAAATTCAAGGTCCATTGTTTAATATATTCTCATACAACTCATGACCTCATGGCAGGAAAGTCGAGAAACAGTTCCTTAATAGCCCAAGGGCGGAGGATGGAAGGACGAGGATCAATCATCAGTTACCTATTCAGTTCCGGAATATCCTGTATTTCTGCATGAGCTCGCTGTAGTGCCACTTCCCTAAAGTTAACTTCCTTTCTTTCTTTGCTCTCTCACTTTATTTGCTTCACATATACCTCTTTCTTCGCTTATTCATCTTGCAAATTAGTTATATGGCTAATCAAAGCATTAGCGAGCAGGATGCTGTACTAATGATTCTCTCTCCTACCTGCATGCGTAGTCCGGTCTGTGTATACAGCTAAGAGATGAAGCGCAAACTGCATCATAAAATGTCTTCATAAACATAACATTCAAGTAAAATCCTTCTTTTATTTCTACGACTGAAAATTTCATTTCAATACCACAAATCTAGTCTTCACTCTTTACGAATCAACTGCGGGCTTCAGATCCTCGGCTCTTTTTCAAATTTAAATTACTATATTTCAGCAATTAGCCGATATAACGAAGCTAAATTCAACTGATTCATTGCAAAGTAGCGCTGGCTATTTCTTAAAGAAGCAGGTATGTTTCAGTCAAAACTAACATTACTAGCTGTTCTTAGTACATACACTTCCGAGAGCGATTGCCCGAACAATTCTAAAAGGCATAGTTATAATTTTAACTTTTATTCTTCATGACAAATTACAAACCCTTGCCGCTAAGAATAGTGATACTTGAAGCGGCTACTAATTCATTACTGATTCATCAGTGACGGAAAGGGCAACCCCGCGTCATTCTCTTTTTTTCATTTTCATTTCATGTTATTTTGACCACTGCTGCATCGTCTGCTGGTCAGCCTGCTGACAAACCTGGCATTCGTTTCGTTTATTATTTTACCTGTACGGTCGAAATAAAGCGGTTACTTTTCGTGCGTATCTGCGGCATTTATTACCTTTTGATGAAATTCGAAGCTTAATATTTTTTCACAACCTAGCCAAACAAAAAAAATCTGAAGCCGTTCTGGCTGCAGTTTTGCATTTTCTGGATGAGTTTGTCACTTTCCCCATATAAAAATTCGAAACTATTTTAGCATGGTTTAAGTTTAAAAAGTCTACGGAGTGCCCTTTTTTCCTTCTCTCACATAAAAGACTGGCTGGTGTTAAAGGGTTATTCAGGCATGGGCAGTGATACTGCTGGTCATTGGTGCGTTATTTATCGTACTTTTGCCAGTAACAGGGATTTGCTTCTTCTGCGGACGATGTTGCAACTGTTGTGGTGCGAAACGAAAACATGTTTGTTTTTTTTTTTGTTCTAACATTGTTTTTCACGGGACTGAAAAAAAAAAGGTTATAACAACAGTAGAAGCAAAGTGCGTCGTAGACAAAACAATCGTCGTTTGCAAATCTGGTGTGTACTACAAGAGGATCGAACCACTCGTTTTCACATCAGGACGTGACGTGCGCAGAACCACTGCACCACCGGTCACGATGGTCCAATCGTCTACTGTCTATCTGCTTTTTTAAGGGACATGTAATTTCTGTTTTGTGTCTGCTTCACATAGGCGGTGTACAAATTTACAACGACCTCTCCTCTACAAGCTTTCGTTAATTCCCTACGACACAGTGGACAAAAAAAATAGTAGAATGAAATATAAACTAAGCTGAAAACATAACTAAAATATGTAATACTGCTACCAGTTAATCACTAATTCAGTAGGTAACCATGCCATTTTCTTCATTTCGTAGTTGTTTTGATCAAAGCTGCATTAACTAATTCTAAACGTTTTTGCGATCCTGGCGTTCTTTTCGTCTCCAGAACTGCTCAGTTGAAAGCATTTTGACAAGCCCTTAGCTACTTAAAGATGTATTTACTTTTGTTGAATGCTCTGTCTCATTCCCGGACGTTACCACTCCCAGGTCCGGGAAAAGATCAATAACTAGCATTCAATAGCATATTTTCACGGTTTACAAGCACTGACGAGGTCCAGTTGTGGTAGTGAAAAGGAATGTATACA